TTCAGATGAAATTAAAAAAACTTATAGAAAACTGGCTCTGAAGTACCATCCTGACAAAAATCCTAACAATCCAGAAGCAGCTGAAAAGGTTATCTAAATTTCTAAAATCTGTTTACTCTTATAATATATACTTTTCTAATATATGTATTTACTTTTATATATAGAGGAAATGCCCCTATTATAAGATGATCATTTATAGTGCTGAAAGTCTATTGGCAAAATTGAAAAAAATAATAGGTCATTTTGAAGGGAATTTAATAAACTGTTAAAATATTGTAAAATTTAATTCAAATATTTTTTTCTTAAAATTAGAGAAATGTAAAAAGTGAACGAATCGCAAAGTAAAAAAATTGCGCTCAAATACTATGAGAATTAATAATAAAGTGTATCAGTATTGCAATCAAAAAATTTTTTTTATTTAATATTTCTAAAATGAGCACAGTATGAACACAGAATGAGCATGTGATGCATTACTCAGGATTCGTCTCCAGGAATAGTTGGAATCAAGCATTGCAGAAACAAGCACTCATTGTTCATTCTACGTGGTTATCCTTTTTATTACTGTACAATAATATTCATACTTTAGCAACAATTGTCATTGTAAATTCAATCATAAGAACATGAGTTATTTCATATTAAAAAAACCTGAGTATTTCATATTACATGTTCCAAGCCTTACAGTTTTACAATCATTAAATCTAACTTCTATAATTAAGCAATTCAACATATTTTTCTATTAACATATTTTCTATTAATATTTTTCTATTAATATGATCTCTATCTACTATATGCAGAATTTATTGCCAAATATTTACTTATTAAATAACAAACAAGGTTTACAGACTCATTAATTTGAAAATATCCAAATTCTAATACCTTTTTTTTTTTTACAATGATTACAGGCACGATCTAATAATGAATTTTCGACTAAATAATTTTCAACTTAAGAGCAATAAATCCATGATCTAATCGACAGATAGCATTTATTTAGTTTAACAGAAATGCCACTATTATATTATCTATCTCATAATAGAGGGAACTTTCTTCTCTTGAAAAAAATATTTTTTATAAATTTAAATTATGTAAATGATTTTCTTTCCTTATTATTTTGGATATTAAGAATTTTGAAATTTATTTGCACTTTCAGCATAACAAAATATATCTTCTAATTGAATATTTACAGTTTAAAGAAATAAATAGAGCACATGCCATACTGACAGATCTAACAAAACGTAATATATATGATAATTATGGATCTCTTGGTCTATACGTCGCAGAGCAGTTTGGAGAAGAAAATGTTAACGCTTACTTTGTTGTCACATCTGGATGGTGCAAGGTAAGAGTATGAATTAGTAAGAGTTCATTTTAGTTTATAAAACAACTATTATATTATATTTATATGATTTAGAAATAATATATATTATGTTTAATTATTATATAATATGTGTGTGTACACACACACACACACACACACACACACACACACACACACACATGATTTATATATAAATAAATTTTTAAGTAGGTTATTTAGAAAAAAAATATAACGTAGAAAGTTGATAAAGTATAAGATAATATTATTGTTTAAGATAATATTATTGTAAATGTATATTATGTCAATCCATTAAAGTATATATTGTTAACATTAGTAAATACTTAAATAATAATATAACACTAATCTAAAAATGTTTTCGGTTTTATTGCAGGCATTGTTTATAATTTGTGGAATAATTACTGGTTGTTACTGTTGTTGCTGTTGTTGCTGCTGTTGCTATTTCTGTTGCGGTAAATGTAAACCAGCTCCTCCCGAGGATAGTGGTGCATACCATAATTTACAGGTAAAAACATTCATAACTTTGGTTATTTATTTTGATAAATTTTTTTACAAATAATAAAACTGCGATACGAGAAAGTATCAAATATATATATGATGATAAATGATATGGATAAAAAATAGAAGAAAGAAGTTTACATTAACAAATATAAAAAAGAATGTAAGAAAGTTTCTATTTATAAATTATCATACCAAGCTGACTGAAAAATTTACTGTTTTCTTATTTTCATTGCCTTTCTACAAATCTGTTATCATCAGCCTTTAATATTCTAACTATAATCTTGAATTTCATCTTTCAAAAATATATATTTTATCAAAAATACAGTAATCACAAGAATACTATTTTCTATGGTTTAATCTCTCTCTATAAATGAGAAACATTTCGAGATAATTTATAATTATATGCAAACTATAAAATTATATATTATATTTTTTGCCAGTTTTTTTCATATATAAATTAGTACAACTTCCTTTTACACACATCTTTCTTTGACAATTCTTTTATTTTGTTGCAAAGTAATATACGAGGAATTAAATGAATATATATAAATGAATATTATAACATATTATTATAGTCATTATATTCACTCGGACTTAATTACAAATCTGTGTCTTTGTACGACGCACATGTAATATAGTAAAAGCTGAACTTTTATCAATTAATATACATTATTCAAATATGCATAACCTATACTGCACGAAAAAAACAAATATTATTTCTAATTTACAAAGAAAACAGAAGTCTATTATTCTTACTAATCTTACTGTAGATGTAGCATAAATAAATCATATAAACTTGTGATTCATTAATCATGTAATACTTTTAAACTTTCCATTTAATATTAATGAATGGATAATGTTTCAAATATATTTATAAATATTTATAAATATTTATAAATATTTTTTCTCTGTCAACTTCATGAATTCAATGGTATTTTAGATTTAGAATGGTATTTTCCTTTCTTTAGACATAAGTTTTTAAATAAATTCAAAAAATGTAATTTTCTTTCAATATATTGTGAATGTTAATATCTTAAAAAATGATTTTAAAGATTCGAATATAATTAAGGAAATAAGCATTGATATCTTTACTTTCGGTTTCAAAATATTTCATTGATAGTATATTTAGACAAAATTGCCAACATATCATTGAAATCACACAGTCGTAGTTATCTGTAATCTTATCTTTAGTCGACAGAAGAGACATTATCTGTTTAGTGGCGAGTTATTTTAAATTAAGTCTGTCCAAGTTTTTATTTGCAAAATGTTTTTCTATTTTGCTAAGCAAAATTGAAAAGAAATAAAACAACAGACATTAATATTATCCATATATTATTGTATATGGAAGCGTTATATCATGTATTAATTATTTATATATATTAAATAATTACACTAATTGTAAGATCGGTTAATTGTGTCATTAAAAAGAGACTTATGATAGCATGAACAATTACAAATGAAAATAATAAAAGTCTTTCGCTCAATAAACTTAGACAGACTTATTATAAATCCTGTATTATATAACAGTGCACATTTAAATTCAGTAATATAATTAAATGTCATTAATATCAATCCAACTAAATGCAATACACAAAACATAGATTCTATAGTTGAATTTTAAAAAATATTGAAACATAACAAATCTAAACTCTCTAAAAGAGAGTATATTTATGAATAAATTTCTGGCACATAGTTGGAAAGCATGTCAACGAGGAATGAATATCTCAGTAGACTTTTAATTGCAAAAACAAGCGATTTAAGGAGTTTATGCAACTTACAAATGATCGACGTACGCATAAAAGTTTGTATTTATTTAAAAATTTGCAAATATATTTTTTTTGGAGGCACTATAAACGCTTTATATAAATGGCTTGGCACAGCTCTTGAAATCTTAGTCATAAAAGTTTAATTTATTAAATATGCGTTGCGCACGCACGCGCGCGCGCGCGCACACACACACGCGCGCACACACACGCGCGCGCGCGCGCACGCACGCACACACACACACACACACACACACACACACACACACACTGAAGGAAATGACTAATGATAGTATCAAAAAAGTTCTTTATGAAAAAATATATATAAAATTTTCTCATAAAAAAACTGTTTAATAACTTGTACAGAAAAACTGATGACGTATTTACGCTTTTGTGATCTTCATAAGTGAACATAATTTGCAATAAGTAGATTATAAGTAGATTTTATATCAATGAATTATTTTATTCACAACTATTTTAATACATGTAAAAAGATATAGCATTTTATTGAAAAAATGAAAATATTCTTGTATATAACTTGTTTAATTTAAATTATTTTACATCGTTTTATTCAATACTTTTTTACTTTTTGAAATTTTTTTTTGAACAATTCCTTTTTTCTATTATCAATTCGATG